TTGTCTGGGAGGATAAAAGCACTGGCTTGTACATCGGCAGGCCACCGCAAGTCATTGTATAGGCCACATACACATCATTACGCCGCTACGATTCTGAATGGAAGTCGCGTGCGGGCCGCATCCCTCAGACGGGATTGATTATCGCCAAAAACTTTATCCTTTTATTGTTGGCATGACTAATCTTGCTAGAAAAGCAATTTCAAGTATCTTACTGAAACAGATTTCTTCGTCATCGCCAAAAGCGGTAGTGTTACCAGTAGTTACGTCTTTCGTCGTAGCCTCTTTCTCAAGCACTGGAGCTGCTTCCTCCTCCGGAGCCTGCAAAGACACCTTTTAGCGATCTTTCTCTTCTTACAAATTGAGAAGAAGGGAAGTATTGCCGAGTGATGCCCTACTACATGTATGATCCGAGAGTCCGGATACGGGTGAGCCTTGGCCTGGGAGCCTTGACAGGGAAGCTTCATCTCATTAGCCTGATATACCATACAAGCTAGCCATTTATATCCCATCAAGGATGGGATATAAATGGCTGGCTTGTATGATGTATCAGGCTGATGAGATGAAACAGTGGTAGGAACGGGTTTGGGGTGGGGTTATGATGGGGACAGCGGTCACGATCTAGCTGTTAAAACACATGATCCTCCACCTGTTAGAGATAAGAGAAGAAGGGCTCTATCCGGCCGGGCGAGGGCCCCACAACATGCAGCCCTACACTCGACTGTGGAGCTGTAGCACTTCCCGAGATACCTAATGTCTAGCTCTCACTAGGCATTGAATGCGAATTCGGATCCACTATCTCAACAGAATTTCTTCACGTGGGCGTATTCAGAACGAGATTGACCAACCAAACTTTATCATTATCTCCTCTTCTACATGCGTGTAAAAAAGCACACTGCAATCACATTACAGTAACAGCAAAGTGGACGGAACACAATGGAATACAGGCACGAAACTAGGAGGGTGGTACATTCTCCCCGAACGCAGTGTCGCACTCGCCGAACCGGATCGTGTGCTGAGGAGGAGGTTCAAATTTCCAGTGGAAGGGTACGGTAGTCGCCCCTCTCAATAAAATCGAGTTGTTGTTCAAAATTTTAACTATATATCTTTGCACTATAATATGTTCTCATTTATATATTAAATCGAAATCTGGTTAGTAAACCATGGGAACCTATCTCAGGGAAGGTTGTATTGACGGAGGGAAAGCACATCGACTGTGTGTGTGTGTGAGAGAGCGCAGACGACGCGAGGAAAGTTCTGTTTCATCCCACATGTGGTTAGCATCATTTCTGAACCGTAAGGCGGAGGGCAGTAAAAATCTTCGAACCAACAACGGAACATTGAGCTGGACCCCTTAGCTATTTTCGAGCACTGCTTTGGAGAATGCAATGAAACACTCATGGCCGCTTCACATGAAGAACTTGCTGAAACTAATCTTCTGGCTCTTCCTGTGCAAGCCTTGCTCAGCGAAAAACGGCAAATTCATAAAAGTCAACAAAGACTGTTAAGATCAATTGCAACCAACCGACACTTCCATTGAAGCTACGAGGCGGTCTTACTCGAGGCAACTCCAAAACATAGCAAAAGAAGAAGTGCGAGACGAAAAACCTCCATGGGAACAACAATATTCCTACAGATAAGCAAGGCGTAAGATGAAATGCAGTGGTTGTACTGTGCAGTCGGTGCGCAGCATCCAACGGCTTTTTGTTGTTCGTGTAGTTTTATGAACTACACTCAAAGTATAGTAGTTTACGCCCTACTTTNTTTCCTTCCTGCTACTGTATTTACTTACTGCATGCCGAATCCGTTCCAATTTTCCATTTTTTGTGTGACTGTATGCATTGTGTTCAGCATTAGAGAATACTACTCTGAAGACGCCTTCATCCTCTCAGTGAAGCGGATTTTTTTTTTGAAAAACTAACAAGAATGAGGTTGTGAAAGTATAGTAAGAAGGACTTTTGTTTGCAAGCTTGTTACTAGCTGCGGTTTGCCCTAATTTTTTTTAGTTTCTGGTTTTCTTACCGGAGAATTTCAGATCAGGTTGCTCTTTCATGTTCCATTTAATGAACATTAATTTCATCGAAAGACGTCTTCAGAATTGTGCTTGTGGCGGAGCGGGACTTAGACGTGTTTTACATTTACACTTCCGGTGTCGCATTGAGAATTGTCGTGTAGGTAATGAAATGACAGCTGAAGGTGAAGTCGATCAAGTGTCGGAATGGTGGAATACGACTCGCAATGAAAGGGCCTGGTGGCATCCAATCGTTAAAGCCATTGTGACGTCAGGGCCAGTAAGTTCTTTTGAATCTACAAATTTTTCTCAGATAATGAACGAGGCCTTCTTTTTTTTTATTTGTTACGCTTGAAGGAAAAATTCGGCGAGGTCCTACGTGAAAGTCGTAGCAGAAAATACCTCAGTGACGTATCATAGCTGAGTAAGGGACTTGAACTTTTGGGTCTAATGCTTTCTTGTGTTGAATGTCGATAAATCGATGCTTAGGTTGAAGCTGTGTAGATTGGGCTGTGAACACCTTGAATTTCCCGTTGACCTTTTTTCCTCCGATTTTCCATTGAGGAATTCGAAAGCCTCCCTTTCTGTTGAGCAGACGAATATTTGCCTTTGTCAGCTTATTCGTTCCTTTAGTAAACTAATTCCATTTTTATGTTCCACATCATGTGGCTTTCGTTATGGATGGAAATAGGCGATTCGCGAAGACTCACCAGCTTGGCCATGTCATTCACGGCCACGAGAAGGGATTTCATCAGCTTGCGAAGGTATGTCAAGTGTTCTGTTCTCCACTGGTATTCCAAATTATAGTTTCTGTGAACAACTGCTTCTTTTCAGATTTTGGACTGGTGCCATGAACTGGGGGTGCGAGAAGTGACAGTCTACGCATTCAGTATTGAAAATTTCAAACGGAGCTCTGATGAAGTTGATGGTCTGATGAAACTTGCGGAGGAAAAATTTAAGAAACTTTTGGATGAAAAGTATGTTTTTAGCAGATTTCGTCATCTAATATCGGATACTATCAATGCAATTTTCTTTTCGCGAAGCAGTATCGAAGTATTTAGGGACAAGTTGATGGAGAAAAGGATTTCGTTTCGGTTCTTTGGTAACATTGGTATGCTACCTCCAAAACTGCGTAAATACATAGCACAGATTCAGCTTTTGACGAAAGACTTCGAAAGGTATTGAAGGGCTTACATGACCGATTTTTATAAAAGATGTTGAGCCTTTTACTTATAGTTAAGTTCCTAAAAAGAAACGCGATAGGTAGTAATTATATCAGCTTTCCAGTGGTGTAGTAAACGTATGTATGCCATATACTTCGAGAGATGAAATGGCTCGTGCTTTCGAACTGATCAGGAAAGGAAGAGAAAAGGTATCTTATCAAGGAATATCAATTGTTAATGTGAACTCGTGCCGTTTGTATGGATGATTTGAATTGCGATTGATAAGCCTCATTCAGAGTGTAGTTCTGAAAATTTCAATTAAAATTTCTAGGGACTCGTAGCCGAACATCAGATATCAGAGTGGCTAATTTCTCGCTGTCTGGATAGCCGACATGGGACTGAACCAAATCTGCTTATTCGAACAAGTGGTGAAAAACGTTTGAGTGATTTCCTATTGTGGCAGGTGGTGTGCTGAATTCATTGATTNTATATTTTGATGACGTCTTGTGGCCTGAATTTGGTTTTTGGAATCTCTGCAAAGCTATTCTTTCGTACCAATATCACTCTAGCTCTATGCAGGTATGGTAAACTTATTTTTTCCTTTATTCATCTCCAAGTCGCCATTTAAGGAAATCCGACGTTGTCAACAGACAGCTGAACCTTCTGAAGAAGAACTGCTGGCCTTGCAACCCTTTCTCGATTATGTCGATGCCACTTATGATGAAATGATGCATGAGTTCGCAGAGTATCAAGTTGTATCTTAATCAGAAGATTGCCTGAAAATCCTCTAGCAGAGCTTTATAGAATAGCGACCATTTTTTCAGATTCCTTTTTTGTGGGAAATTTGCTGAAACTATATTGAGTATGTTTATCACTAATTTATACTTTCCTTACCTAGTCTATTTCACTTAGCAAGACAAATGCTTAGTAGTTTATAGCAATGCTTGGCTGCTAATTGTATTATTATTATGCTATATTGCTTACAAGTTATTGCACACATACCTCAGTCATTGCGTTCACAGTTTTACGCACTGGTCAGCAGGTCTAGTGTCTGCATTGCCTCTATGTGGTCAAACAGTGTAGGATAGAACGCTTTATATCTATTTTCAGCTTGCCTCATCCTACCGTATTCATTTATTGATAGTACACATTCCATTGAATCAGATACCTTGGTGTCTTCCCTTAATGCATGCCCCCTCTACAGCTGATCGACATAAAGCCACGAAACGTGTTGCTATGTGATAGAAATAAACGGATTTCATTGTTGCCTCTACTAGTATGTACCGACCCTATATTATGTTGATGGAAGGCTTCACTTTATGCATGGTTATTAGTGGCAGTGGATACTCAACAACAACTATACGACTTGTTTGTAGGGGCTCCTATTTGCATAACCATTGAATTCATCTCACTCAACTCTTGTTAGTGATGGTGAGATTTGATGTTGTATACTCAGATTCAATGACAACTGAATGACGTTTTCGTACAATTCAAAAAATTTCTGAAATTCAATCCGGGGCTATTGAACCACAAATCATAAGATACCAGTTATGATCTCAATCACGAGATGTTTCTTTACTTGCTTGCTGGAGTTGCCTGTGATGGACGTTGTCGTGCCGATCGAGACGGTTTTGACCGAGTAGACGTCGTGGGTTCATGAGAATTCATGGTTGCCATCACAGACTCGTCTAGAGCCTTTCGCGCAGCTGCTAGTTCCGCTTCAGCTTGTTGCACCCGTTTGCGATCAGCTACCACTTGAGCGTCTCGTCTGAAAACAAATGCATTTGCAATTACGAAAGGATGGAAGGAAGAGCTAAGCTGGTTACCATGGGTATTACCAAGCCAAATTTCTCTGTAAAAGCTGCGCAAAGCATCAGACGAACAAAACTAATGAAGTAGGTTCAGAGATCAATCTCACTCAAAAATCTGAAGTTCATGATACGAACAAGCTAAAGGATATAGAGAAAGCGTAAAACACTTTCTAGCAGGGTACAAAGAACGAGGAAAATGGAAGAGGCTGTAAAAATACTAGATATCCACGTTACGAGAGCGCCGTAAGAAAAGCTTGGATTTTTCTCTAATTTGTACGATCGAGGTGAAAGATACATGGGGCCAAGATTAGAGGAAAGCAAGGTTGTCCGCCTGTGGTTTCAATTTTGAGTAGAGCTTAGACATTTTCGGGGTATCATTATACTATTTGCCGCTCTACCTACATCACAGAGGGTACAACCAAAATCTGATCCCATACAGTCTACAGTACGCCTATGCTATAAAATGTAAATGGGTCGGTGCTTTTTGCCGAGACTTTGAAACATACTCACCTGTTTGCGTCCTCAACCGCGTTATTTCGTACATCTTCAACCCGTCGAGCAAAATCGCTCAAAGTAGCAATTATAGTAGGAATTGTGTTTATAGGGGTATCTCGAGAAGCCCAGTCATCTATCTGAAATGCTTCCGCCAAGAATAACAAANAAACCTAGAAGGTCTTTAAAAGCTGTAGACGTAATATTAGGAGAAGACCCTATTGATCCCCTATTCTTTTCTTTTACAAGTATTGCGAAAAATAATACTTCCAACTAACCTCAATAAATTGTCCCTTTGAATCTAGACGAGCCTTGATAAACTTGTTGTAAATAGCATCAATAACAACATCTTCCAACTCTCGTACAGAATTCAAACGAAGGCTGAAATTGAATTTTGCTAACTAGCTGACTGATGCGATTATAGGATGAGTGCTCAAAAACATCATTGAATAATGGTCGAATAGAAGCTCTAAGAAGTCCTAATAAATGAATATGCTACTCAATAAAGATCTCAGGTTACCGAAAAATCCACAACTTCATGGTAAAGTAATTTTATTTATTTCATTTCCACAATGAAGTTCTGAAGTCTATCAAAACAACAAGACTTGTTTTCCAACCAATCCATGGGCCTTCATTCGAGATTTAGGACTTATAATTCAGCAGCAGGCAAAGGGTGCGAATCAAAAGAGTACCGAGAAGGATCTCAACCCTCTGTCGACACTATAGTTCTCTCTAATCCCTTCCCATTCCCTATAGTTTTTGTCCCGCCTCAAATCAATAGAATTTGATGCGAGGCGTCGCTAGTAAATCAATATCCATAGAATTGACAATTTAGTGCAGACATTGATCGTGACATTTCGCGAGTAACTGATCCTTGTCCATCGTGAGTGAATATTATTGAACCATTTTTGTAGCAAATCTTTGAAGGTCAACTAGAACCAAACCCTCGCTCGAATACTATTGAACCAACGTTCATGGGGCATGCTACATTGCTACAAAAGCAGCTATCTAGCAATTTCCTAGAAAAATGAAGAAACCTAAACAAACCATTAAAAAATGTGATTCACAACCCACCGTAAAAAGTCCTCTGACTTAGCTATGCTCATCGTACCTTGTGAAGGATTCTGGATATCGTGCTCTTATCAACATTTACGCAACTGTTTATAACATAGCTGACCATCATCAAAAAACGTGTTCACAAACAAACAGCACAAACGTTTCCAATAAAGTCCCATTCACCGAGTACCAACCCACCAATATAGCGCTAGCACATCACCTGCTGCTTCCTTCTCGACACATTTTCTCCACTTCTGGGGCTCTTTGTCGGATGTTAGACAAAGTTACTTAGAGCTTTGACAAACCGGCTGAACCTCCGGATCAGAATTAAATCAGAAGATGGGAAAATTAGAGAGAATTAAGTAAGAAGTCAGAGAGAATTCAATTGATGGAGTCTCTGCACTGCATTATCTGGACTCTAGTTCAGCCGTAAAGCTTCGTGGATTAATCACATAGAAAGATTTAAGGTCACCCACTACTGCATCGCTTCCGCGTACGGAATTTGCCTATTGGATGTACTGTTCGCAGCAAGGCTGATCAGTGACAGTTGCCGTAGTTTTGATAACGCAGCAGGAGGCAGGTTAACCTAAATGTATTATGTTTTTAATAAATGTCAAGAAACTCCAATACTACAGCATTTCTGATACATTTACCCCTTCAGGAAGGTCTTTTAGAGAACCGTATGCGAAAACTTCAAGCGTTTTGT